TAAAACTTACACTGACTATTTTCACCCCTCAATTGTATGTATGAATAATCTTCTATTTTTTTTTGTAATTTGACTTCAAAATTATCCTAGCGGTTCCTGTTTTTCAAATTTCAGCTTTATAGTATCAAAAAACTTAAAATATAAAATCCTCCAAGAAAAATGGCTATGACATACAGACCAGATTCCTTTTGGACATTTTCCCACGAAGCCTCAAAATCTGTAAAACATCCATTAAAAATGATAAAATTGCGTTTACAATTTAAGCTTCTTAAGCTTCTAATTACAAGCCTTACTCGCTGTAAGAACTTTATTACACTTCCATATTGACCTAGTTGTAGGAAGCGCACAAGCATGAATGCAGTAGTTTCAAGTTAGAAGTCAATGCTTGAGCTATTGAGTTCTAATAGTCTTGTATGAGCAGACGTTTATGAACATTCATAAATCTTTTCTAATGTATGTATGTTCCCTATAAATTCCAAACGGCTGGAGCGATTTTGATAAAATTTTCAGGCAATCTTCAGATTAGCCCAGCGAGTGATCCTGTGAAGTTTGGTAGTGATCGGAAGTTTGAATGCGGGCGAAGCCACAAGTACTGCCAGTTAAAGTATACAGTATCATTTCTAACTCTACACTAATATACCTGTCAGAACCCCATTAAAAGAAATTGACTTACACATTAACTATATAACATATTAAAATGATTACCACTTGTCTTACGGTGAAGGAAAACATCGTGAGGAAACATGCATGTCTGAGAGAACCTAGCAAGTTTCAAGAGGGACTATGGCCTGATCCCTCTCGTGCTGAAGGGAAGCGTACAGCATTGGGACGTAAAAAGGGCTGAATACACTAACGTGTGGTTTGAATGATTATTTTATTCATAAAAAAACTATATTTTACTAATCTTTAATCCCCCCACGACCGCGGACACGCCGGCGTGTCAGTTAACGATAGATTTCTTATGGCCGATTTCACCAACGTCACCTAAGTTTAAGGGATCCCCTAAGCATGGTTAGGAGGCTGTTATGGGACAGTTTCTGTTACACCGACAGTTAGGGGTCACCTAAATGTTAAAATGCCACCTAAATATAGGTACTAGAAATACGGGCTCTGACGATGGTAAAACGAAATTCAATTTAGGGGCTAGTTTAGGGGAATCAATTTCTTAGAAATTTACCTGGAGGTTTTAAAGCGTAAATTCTTCATCATCTTATTATATTCTACAATCTATATTGCTAAAGGAAATGAAAAAAATAACAGCGAGTTTATGCATTATCTATAGGTACCTGTATATATAAATAGGCAAAGGCAAAACAGTTCAGTACCTTGTACTCCTCCGTTCGTTAACCGATTTTCTTTTTTTTTTGTTCAGTATATATTGCCGAGCTTTAATGTTATCAATAAAAACATTTTGGAAATATTTATTTTTATTTATATACAAGTACAAATGTAAATTCTATTTATATATGTTTTCCTCAAATTTTCAATAAAACGTACGGTCGAAATTTGACTACTGGGCGAACCTAGATTTTACAAATATGTCATTTCCATACATTTATCAGTATTATATTATCGATAGCGATAGTAGACAGACGTCTTGTCTTTGCTTTCTATATGTCTCTATATATAATAGATATGACACTAATGACACCGGCCTGCTAACTCTTATTGGATTATTTTAATGTCCACATATCGATCATAGATAATGGCTATATCCGTTTAATTATATTTGGTACATTATTGGTATACGAATCTATTAAAACTATACACAATACAGCTGTATTATACTTTTATAATTTAACCATAGAGTTCAAATATAGAATAGTAATATATTCTTTTAAAGATGGCGTAATATACGTTAATTTATTTAAAGTTAGAGATATTTATGTAAAATTAATTTAGAAAAAATAAGATCAAAATGCGCATTCTACATAATTTAAAGGTAAATAGCAAAATAAAATAAAATAAAGGTTTCTGAAATGAAATGAAACAGTTTTCCATTGATGGTTAAAATATATGTTATCTATCAATAAGTTTGAGTGCGTAAGTATAGATGGCGCTGTTTGTTTTTTTATGATTTTTTTCTTTTGGTTACAAACAGTTATAATTACCGGAGCTTTTTTTGTTTATGCATTTTACTATATTTTATACGTTTTCGTGAAATGAAATAGGCAGGTTGCGGGTTTGCACCATCTATCCTCTATTCGAGTAAACTGAAAAAGCTCTAATTTGGGTTGACATTTTTTTATGGGATATGGTGTCGGTACTAATATTATTCTATATTTTTGATTGGATTCATCTCAAATAAAATAAAAATAACAACAAAACATAAATATCTGTGGGTGTTAGATTTACTCAAATTAAAAAAAATCGCACGTGGCTAGCGTGGTGGTCTACGGCCTGATCCCCCTCGCATTGAAGGGAGGCCCGTGCCCAGCTGTGGGACGTTAAAAAAGAGCTCAACACTGAATACTTACCCAAAAAGTATCAACAATAGGTTAAATAATAATTAATTAGTTTTTACCTATATGTATTTTCATTATGTTTATAATATGTATGTATTTAAAGTTATACTCGTATGTGTTTAGTGTATCTGGTATCCATAACACAGGCCTCGTAGCTTACCATCGAACTAGATTATGTTAATGTCCCAACATATTAATTATTTATTTATTTATTTATTTATAAACATCAAGAATTTTGTACGCCTTATGTGAAAGTTAAAATGAGTTTTTTGTATTGAAGGTATTTTCCTACTAGCCTTGAACTTTTGACGCTATAACTTGTAACAATAACTGTAAGGGAAGAGAGTAGGCGTGTGCTATTATGTCATTAATAAGGATTCATAAAGCCAGCTATTATAAAATTAGTAAACATTTCTATACTCTTAAGATTTAAATCTATTCTTTTTACTTTAACTGGAAATTTAATAAAGTTGTAATGAATCACACACGTATGTATGTATCCAAGATCAAGATCTAGATCACGACAAATACTTACCTAAGTTTTTTTTATTTATTACTAGCTGCTTACCCTCGCTTCGCTCGGTTTCGCCTTTAGAAAAGCACGAACAGATCTATCCCTCGGGAACCGTTCATTTTTCCGGGATACAAAGTAACCTGTTATTTGACCAGCACTATAAGGTATCAGCATGCCAAATTTTACTAAATTAGGTGCATAAGTTGGTGTGTACAAAGCTGTATAAGTTACTATAATTTTTATTTTTAATTATCCCACGGGAACTCTTTCATTTTCCGGAAGAATATGTTGACTGGGGATAACCCCAGTCAACATTTTAGATACTTAACAACATACAAGCTACCACCAGGCAAAGTTTCATTTAAATCGGCCCAACAGTTTTGGAGATTAGCTCACGTACAAGTAGACAAACAGACAGAGAAACAAAAAAATTGAAAAGAATCTGGATTTGTTCAATTTCTCTTCTTACATCCCACTGACTCGGTTTTTAGCATTTTTTTTTCTATGTACAGACATTCAACCTCTACAGTTTTATCATATGTATGTAGATATTATTATTGTTACAAGTTATAGCGTCAAAAGTTCAAGGCTAGTAGGAAAATAGGTATGATTTGATTTTAAGCACACTTACAAACTTAAAACAATTCAATACAATAATTAAATTAAAACAAAAAAAAAGTATATCAATTACAAGCGTATATACCATTCATAATAGTAATATTAATTACATATTAAAATAAGGAATTATTATATTAGTTGATAAAAAATACAATTTTACAAAATTTATAAACTACTTAATTTCAAATACAATAAAATGAAAATATAAATAATTCGAATTTAGTTAATTAATAATTGTATAAAAGTTATTATATATTTAAATCACTTCATAAGTTTTGCAAAAATAATATTCTAATTGTTAATTATAGATGTTTGTCCCAAGCAGGATTCGAACTCGCAACCACTTCCGGCTAACATTTAAGACAACTTACTTAATTTTTGTGAAAATAAAAACGACAGCGTATTTTAATTCTGAACCAACAAAAATCTTCGGCTCTTTTAAAAACAATTTTTCTCAATACGAATCCAAAGTTTTTAGATTTCAAGTTTGTCAATTTTTAAAAGTTAAGAAGTTTAGAAAAAAAAACAAATTAAATGCTGATATTTCGCTTCCGGGCTACTAATATAAATGACAAAGTTTGTATGTGTGTTAGTGTTTATAATTTAGTACTCAGATATTATGACCTAGATTTAGTAACACATAGGCTTCCGTTAGCCACCCAGGGACGCACCCGAGCGAAGCGAGTTCTACTGGGGGACTGACCCCTTATATGAACCCTTTAAGGGATATAGTATGAAGATGTGCGTGTCTGGTTCAAATCCGATTGTAACGCATGAAGCAACCCTAGTCATAACATGAGCCCTTAATAAGCTCATGACTTACCACGTGGAGTCGCACGCTAAGTATCGTTATATGATCACATGTGATGTGATATATGGCAAATTAAAATTAGATAGTACACGACTATTAGATTTTTTTTATTTGTGTTTGTTTGTTCCGTCTGATCTCCAAAACAATTAAAACCATTAATGGGACTTTCACTATTCATATATATACTTTCTTACATATAGTGCCGGATTCAACCTTTTCGCCGCCCCTTGGCATTGTAAAAAATGCCGCCCCATTCTCGAAATTTGAACATAAAATGGATAAAAATTCTATAAAGTTTAATTTCTTTTAAATATTGTTTTTTTTTGAAAATTGCAAAATAATTATTTATAAATGTTTTTAATTTTTCGAAAGCACTAGTATTTTTTTAATTATTTATTTTATGGAAAATACAAAAAAACATTTTCGATAACATTAAGATTTTTTTTTCACCTTCTGAATTTTGCCGCTCCTGAAAATTTGCCGCCCTAGCCCCGAGTGCCCCTATTGGAAATCCAGCGCTGCTGACATACATATATATCCATGGTACATTCGACAGATGCGCAGAGAGGCCATGGTGGTGGACCGCTAGGGCATGCTCTGCGGGGCCATCTGGTCCGCTGCGCCAGTGTCGTTGCGCGGGCTGGCGCCGCACGTGCCCCCGCGCCCCGCCCTGCTCGCCGCGCTCGTCATGCACGCGCTGCATGCCGACGACTCCAGCTTTGTAGGTAAGATGGGCTTTTCCAACCCACCGAAAGCACCCAAGTTACACGACCAAACAACAAAATATAACTCTACGGTATAGCTTAATAAGACAAATAGCGACTCACCTTAACGTCGCTCGGATTCTTCCCTTAGTAGTTTTATATATCCCTTACTTGAAAAACGATTGATTCTCCATACAAACTCTCATACCGCTTTACTCTTCCATAAGAGATGTTTAAAAAAAACCTAAAGAAGCCTCAATCTGCCACTGAAATACTGTCTAAGAATGTGTCCAATAACACTACCTAAAAAAATTGAATTGTAGTTCACGTTTATTAAATAATATTACGACGTCGTTCCGAAGTCACAAATTTTCTCGTAACTTTTGTTTTACATAATCTTTTATATCATAGAAATGTAAACGAGATGGATTGAAAGTCTGGGCACGATTTTATTGGCTTTAAAAGCATTTTTATTATTTTTTCATGAAATAGTCTAACCCAAGTTTTGTCGTTTTAAAATGTAGCATTAAAATATCAAGGTGAACTCGCTATAGTTCACTCTTTTAGGTACTCGTATCTTACCTCAGCCATGTGGGGAAGGCCACTTACTTAAGATGTTATACCGTCCTTGGTCGTGTTTTATTTATTCAATGCTATGTTATCTTCCACTACATTTTTATTTTGAAACCCTTTTACCAAATGGTTTCGCTAGAGCTTTTGTCTTCGACTTTTCTCAGAATGTTTGTTGTGTAGTGTGTAATGTGTATTCAGCCCTTTTTATCGTCCCACTGCTGGGCACGGGCCTCCCTTCAGTACGAGGAGAATCAGGCCATAGTCCACCACGCTGGCCAAGTGCGGGTTGGCGGACTTCACATGTCTTTAGAAAACTTGCTAAGTTCTCTCAGACATGCAGGTTTCCTCACGATGTTTTCCTTCACCGTAAGGCAAGTGGTAATCATGTTAGAAATGATTCGCACATAAAAATATCAGAGGTGCGAGACCCGGGATTTGAACCCGCTTCACTCGGTTTCTCAAGCGAGCGCGTTACCACTGGGCTACCACTGCCTTTTAGTCCTTTTAGGGATCCGCCGCCTTGAGGGAAGCCAGTTGCCAAGCTGGTCTAAGTTGCGCACCCGTTCAGATGAAACTTAAGATGCAAATCATTAGGTTTATATAAACAAATGAATGAGTGTGTAATGTTCAATAATATTTTTTTATATTATTTTTATATATTACTAGCATTGCCCGCGGCTCCGCCCGCGTTCAGATGACCAAAAATCAAATTCTAGGTTTTACATATTAGTATACTCTTACATTGCAGTTTTTGTATTTTTTCTCAGAAATGTGACATTTTCCCGCGGTAAAAAGTATCTTATATGTTGACCCGGATAACCAGCTATCACCATACCAAATTTTATCAAAATGCCTCCAGTGGTTTTTCTGTGATGCGGTAACAGACAGACAGATAGACAAAAATTCTAAAAACTATAGATTCGGCCTCTGTATTGAGGGTTTGTTGAAGTTTCCGCAATGTGTTAGGGGTGTCTAATGGTTATTTAAATAAATTTTTTAAAATCGAGATTTGTATTCATCTTACTTTGAATGTTTATCTATACATATAATAAAATTCTAATTGAGTCGAATCTGTACATTAAATATTTTGGGGGAAAACTTACTGAAATAGTCATTATTATCGATACAGAGGCCGAATCTATAGTTTTTAGAATTTTAGTCTGTCTGTCTGGGAACTAATCACGAGAAAACCACTAGACAGATTTGAATGAAATTTGGTATGAGGATAGCTGGTTATCCGAGTCAATATATAGAATACTTTTTACTGCGGGAAAATATCTCATCTCTAAACTAAACTCTTATATGTAAACATAATTCCAGACCACTAATAAGATATTTCGTGTAATCCTTTTCTTACAGTATCTACTAAAAAGTTACATAAAAATTATAATACGTATTCTAATAATATCCGGAATAATAATATCTAAATCTATAATCTACAGAGTGCGTGTGGAAGGCACATTAGTTTCTTAGTCGTTTCCCACAAAGCAGTACCTAGTTCATATTAATAACAATCTGACAACGTACAGCTGTTTGAAATCTGAGTTTTGATAGTAAAGTATATTATAATCACACTGCTATTATAAATGGGTATGTTTGTATGTTTGTTACTTCACGCTGGAACGACTGGGTTTATTTAGATGAAATTATGTATTTACGCATGCCACTTGTAGATATATATAGGTGGTTATATGTTATGTGGGACTCGCCGACTAGAGAAGCCGTCTTAACACCTCCACATTTTTAAGGGATTAATCCCTCCACGACCGCGTACTCGTCGGTGTGTCAGTTAACAATAGATTTATTAAAATTTTAATGTATTTCTTAGAAATTTACCTGGAGGTGTTTTAAACTTATAAAGCTAGACTGAATTCAAGAACAATAAAGTGTATTCAGCCCTTTTTATCGTCCCACTGCTGGGCACGGGCCTCCCTTCAGTACGAGGGAAATCAGGCCACAGTCCACCACGCTGGCCAAGTGCGAGTTGGCGGACTTCACATGTCTTTCGAAAACTTGCTAAGTTCTCTCAGACATGCAGATTTCCTCACGATGTTTTCCTTCACCGTAAGGCAAGTGGTAATCATGTTAGAAATGATTCGCACATGAAAATATCAGAGGTGCGAGACCCGAGATTTGAACCTGCTTCACTCGGTTTCCCAAGCGATCGCGTTACCACTGGACTACCACTGCCATAATAAAGTAAATACTTCAAATTTAAAAAACATTATTTACTTAAACTTGAAGTAGATTTTGTTCTTTCATTTCTACCCCCTTGACGAAAAACAAAATAATGATATCATAAAATCAGTTAAAACTTGATTTAGATATTTCATAATAAACACTAATAAAACGTACAATCTAATTATTCGGCCATTTTGAAGTCGGCCAAATAAGGGCATATGTCATCGGAGACGAAATGAAATATTTAATACATTTTAGCTGAACCCAAATAAAGCAAAACTTACTAAAATAGTAGATTAATTCAGTCTGGTCGAGATTAGTGTATCATAAAGACATATATAATATAGTTTAACTCGCTTTAGGCACTTGGCAGTTTGATGTAGACTGGTAAGGGTGAGGCGCCAAGATGTCTGTAGATATGCCTCGCGTGAGTCGACGGCCATTTTGTAGGTACCTTGATATACAAAATCGATTTGTTTTTACTATATTTAATCGATATTAGCGTATAAAGCGAATATGATGTATATTTTTATTAGTTTTAATTATTATTAGTGTTTTGATGTATTTTTTCTTTTTCGACATGAATATTTTTGTATATTTTTGGTAAATTTTTTTATCTATCCTAACTTTAAGTAGACAAACATTAATAAAAAAAAATAGCGCGAGGATAAATTCTATTTTTGACTGCTATTGCGTATATTACGTTGATAAAATAAATATTAATTTCAACCAAAAGTTTTTTGAAAATAGGTTTAGTTATTCCTATTTTACAAGCATAAACAAGCCACAGCCACTTTCATAGCTTACCAGTACAAATATACTGAGACTGAAATATTTTTTTATTGGCTGTTTGAGCGTTTTTATCGTACTTTCAGACAGGTTTCCTCTGGATGTTTTCCCTCAACGCGAGGCGAGCGATAATCAAGCTAAAAATGATTTGACGTAAAAATGTCAGAGGTATGAACCCGCTTCACATTATAATAAAAATATAATTAAAAAATATTTTACATGGCGGCCTTGTCTCCACAATATCCTTTTGGATAATTGCTGTTTGTACAAACGTACCTGACGGACGTACCGTGAGCTAAGCGAGAATAAGTCGCAAGTATATTATATATATATATATATATATATATATATATATATATATATAATGATCTTATATTTTCAATATAATTTAAGATATTCAAATAAATCTTTTTCACTTAATGTTAAAATTATAATAATATTTTGTCGAGTTAACTTTAGTTATGAAAATATAATTTTTATATGAATATTCTTCTAAACGATTCTGTACAATAACTGTTTAGATATTCGACACTGTTGGCGAAATTTTGCCAACATGAGCCTTTGTGAATTAAGTCTAGAGGTTGTATTGCGTAATGAGTCAAACGAGTCGAATCGATGTTTTAGTATCGATATTTATATTTTAACATCGTACAAGTGAAATTCAACACGCAATGTCTCGAAATAAATTAAAACGGAAATGAGAGTGACGCATCACTATTATATTTGTTTTCTAGAACATGTATACAAAAATTACCGATTAAAAAACATGCCTTAATTAGCCATTCATTACTTTAAGTAAACTATTATCGACTGAATTTTTTTAATCAACCAAAAAAAAATTTTAGTAAGAGAAAGAGACGAGGAAAAAAAATAAAAAAAATTATTCACAATTGGTACAAATAAAATAAAACTACAAATACGAATAAACATACAAAGGAATTAAATATCTCGTCCTTTTTTAAATCGATTAAAAAAGTGCTGTAAAGGTGTTACAAAATTGTTATACATACATATATTATGAACTAAAATTAACATGTCAAAGTAAATTATTATGTAAAGCCACACATGTAATTCATAGTCAGTGGTCCACATCGACTCGTTATTTAAGTGGTCTCGATACGCCCCGAAGCGTTCGCCGGACTTTATTGCTATTTGGCAAACTTGCAACAATTCATTATTTATCCTTTAACATATATTCTGAAAACGTTCAGTAAATAACGCTATAACATGTCCTTTATTGACACTGTCTAAAGAAATATTTAAAAAACATACACAATGGTGTATCAGTCATACAAATTATATACGGCAATGCGACAAACAAACAGTCGTAGTGTGGAACTTTATTAATTTTACCTATTTCTTATGACACAATAAATCGATAAATCAATTAATTCATCATTCATGAATATCGAAAGACGAAAATTAAATTGTATCGACGTTTCAATACCAATGTACTCGTACTATTGGCTTAACTTTCTGACACTGAATTGGCAAGCCCAGATATATGTAAGTGGATACGGACTTATTCTTCGGTATATCTAGATTATGGATT